GTCCAAATTTGGCAGCCACCGTGGATGATTGCATTAGGCCATGACACCCGTCAATCAACAAAACAACTCCCCAAAAATATAGTTCTTTTTAAATCTTAGAATCTAGGTCCTCCAAATCACCACCATATGAGAAGGGATTTTGAATATTGAAACTTAAAGATATAGATAGATTGATAGATACTTTATTTATCCCCTAGGGGAAATTCATGTAAAATTGAAAAGCTGAAACAAAATTTAGTTGCATTTTTCCCATGACTTCTTTAGAGTTGGAGTTTCCTTAGAGCAACTTGTGGCCTTGCGAGCAACTGTCGATTAAGGCTTAGAGTTAAAGACAATGATTCGATGTTTGGATTTGTGCTGGATGTAATGATGGAAAGTCACTGTTTGCAAGGTCACAGCGGTGTTCTCCTTGTATTTCCTGTGGTTGTAGAGGGGCGCAGCATGGATTACAGTGAGGTGTCTTCTGCCTTCTCCAAACTGGTGGAGACTCATTTTCTTCAGCGCTGTCCTCCGCAAGCGGGAGCAGGAACAAAGGAGAGCTCCACTCCAGCCACCCCTGCTACCCCAGCTGCCCCGTCTGCCCCCGCTACCCCTGTTAGCAACACCCAGCCCACACCAGAGAGCTTCCCCGACTGCTACAAGGTGCCACACATGACACTCATCGGGCGAGGCAAACGCCAACTCTCCAGTGAAGATGGAGAGGACCAAAGGAATGCAAAGAAGGCTAAGTTAGATTTAGAGGTGAATCTCTTTCCCCTCTCCTTTATCTTACATGTTGTATTGTATATCTCTTTCTCTGTCTCCTTCATATGCTCTCTGGCTCTCTTTTGTTCAGACACATGGTGATGAGGGGATTTACTGGCAGGTGAATTTTGAGAGGTTCCATCTCCACTTCAGAGACCAGGCCATCATCAGCGCTGTAGCCAACAAACTGGACCAGGTCAGGTTTACACACGGAGGCTTGAGACAAATTTTTAAGAACAACTCAACAAAAAAAAAACAGTGGGCTCTAGGGCTTTTACCGCTTTGTAGTGATCTAGCCACAGCTTCAAGTTCCACTGTGCTGATTGGTAAAGAGAGTATTAGAATCTGTTAAAGTAGAATTGAGTTCAGAGGAATGTAGTGAAGTATAAAATTCCGTCTTGTTGATTTCTAATGGCTCTGACGGGACACTTGAAATAATCTTAATTCGCAGAATTAATTGAGACGACGACATTTGATGCTACTGATGTACCGATAATTTGCTTGTTCCATCTCCCTGTTCATTAAATTTGGACAGAGAATGACGTAGAAGCTCGGTAGTGTATTGTATCTTTATATATTTCTGGAGATTTAGAGATTGCATAAGGAGAGTCTAAACGAGACATATGTTGTGCTAGCCGAACAAGTTTTTCTTTCCTAAGAGATTATCTCACCCCTGATGAACGCCTTCGTGGTTTCCCACAGTAAGGAAGCTGTAACATCTGGAGTATTGTTAACTTTTAAAAACATTCCCAGAAACAGGCACGGTCTGATAAAACAATTGGATCTTATTTACAACCAGAAAACAGATGCAAGCAGTCTGTTATCCACCAAAAAGAAACCAATGTGTGTGAAAGTGTGGTGGACTTGGGAAAAAATAGTATTCCTTTTTAGAAGGATAAATGAACTGCCAGGGTTCAACAACATTAAACTCCTCCATATAAGTTTGAATTATTTTAGCAGATTTGGACTGAGCGCTTGGGACAGAGGGAGATCGATCCAAGTAAGGATTCAACCAGCAGTTAAAATCTCCACCCAAGACTAACTGGTGTGAACATTAATTCGGTAACATTGGAAAAAGCCTCATCATCCCAGTTGGGAGCATATACATGAGCCAGGATTACATTAATTTCATAAATCGATCCAGCAGTAATAATAACTCTACCAGTAGAATCAGAGACAGTTTTAGCATGGACGAGAAGGGATAGATTTATATGTAAAACAATAGCAACCCCTCCTGATCTGCTGGAAGTGGCAGAGAAATATACTGTACCTGTCCAATCCAACCTCGCCTCAACCTGCAACTACCTATATTTCTCAAGTGGGTTTCTTGTAAATAAATTATATGAGCACCAAGACGCTGTAAATAATGTAAAAGCTTGCTGCGTTTTATCGGGTCGATCAGGCCTTTGCAAGTCAGACTGGTGAATTTAATGTTGATGAGGTATATATTCTGGAAGGAAGAACAGATGCTTCAACCATCAGTTTAGTTTTGAGGAAGTGGAGAAATTGTCTCGGTCAAGCTACAGTACATCTAAACACCGAGCATGGCTCTTTTCCACACACGGTTAAATTGGTATTATGATTGTTTGTGATTGCGATGATTTATCATCTTTCTAAATCTTTTCCCTTTTACAACTCAGACTAGCAGTGAGATAGTGAGGACTATGCTGAGGATGAGTGAGGTGACGACTTCGCCCACAGCCACCTGCACAAAGCCCCTCTCGGCCAATGAGATCTTTCGCTCGCTCCCGAGCAGCTATAACATCGCCAGACCCATTTTAGACCAGTACCTCACTCTGCTGGTGGATGACCCGGTATGACCTCCGCAAGGCACGTTACACGTTTGTGTTCTTCATTTTTATCCACAAGAATTTTTATTTAGATCCGCTTGTCCTTTTTTCTTTTTTTCTCTTTTTTATCTGTAGATGGAGTTTGTGGGGAAGGCTGGTGAGAGCGGAGGAGGGATGTATGTTGTCAGTATCCTTTTTATTTAAGCATGTTTTCATGAGTTGCCACACTGGTTTGTACCATTGAATTCATGAAACACAAGGTGTTGGTGCTTTTCTTAACTCATCTCTCAGATCTGCACAGAGCACTGGCCAATCTGGCACGGGCCACACTTGAGTCTGTCGTACAGGAGAGGTAAGTCTGTGTGTCTGTGTGTGTGTGTGTGTGTGTGTGTGTGTGTGTGTGTTTGAGGTTTTAAATTATTCTGTCATCAAAAACTCATTCGTTTATTCACTTTTAATCTGTCATCAGATTTGGCTCCCGGTCAGCACGCATTTTCCGTCTGTTGCTAAGGAAACGTCACCTGGAGCAGAAGCAGGTGGAGGATTTTGCCATGATTCCAGCCAAGGAGGCTAAAGACATGCTCTACACGCTGCTTTCACAGAACCTGGTCCAGCTACAGGTATGTGCTTGACATGCTAAGATGCTTTCGCTGTTCCTTTCTTTGCATTCAGTTGTTCTTACCAAGCTGTTACCCAACTCAGTCTCTGATTCAGCAGTTTGAAATCAGAAAGGATGATGGGTTGTGGATTGTTTCCAAAGCATACAGTAGGTTTTGGATTGATGAATGCGTTTTCCCTTCATTCCCACAAGAACTTGAACACACCATGGAAAAGCTGCCAAAACTGTCCTCATTCTTAACTGCTACCACACATGATTTGTTACTTTGGTAAAAAATAAGGGGACATACTGATCGCTGTGATGGCTTTAAATATACGAGGCAGGTTTCAAATCTCTTCAAGTCAATTTTCTTAGTGTATTAACATGAGTGGCTGCCTGGAAGGAAGTAATCCAAAAAATATGTGATCCAAAAACCTACTTTGAAAATTATTTGGCACACATGTTTAAGATGCACTAAGTGAATGAGATATTTTAAAACCACACTGTAGCCTAATCTTTCATTACTGGTTGTTCTGTGAACAATGATGCAGGGAGACTTTAATAGAAGTGGCCATCTGTCTATTTCACTGACTGACTGACAGTTGGAACTGACACACTTAGATGATTTGAGTCATCAAATTAAAGGCAGCAGACACTGCTTATTTAATCTTCCTACACATCATCTCTGAATAACTGTTATATATATTTTTTATTATTCTTCAGGAAGTCCCAAAGACTCCTGACTTTGCTCCCTCTCGTACCTTTTATCTTTACACCGTCAACCAACTCCCAACTGCAAGAATGCTGCTGCAGAACTGCTACAAGGTAAAACAATGAACATAAGTTATTCTCTTCAGTTCACACAAGCTTCTGCCTTCATTGATTTCTTGTCGGTGTTGTACATTTATCTCTGTGCAGACCGTGGCCAACCTCATAGAGAGACGCCTGTTCGAGTCCAGAGAGAGCAAGTGAGTGTCTCGTTATATCCTCATGTTTTCTGTGTGTCACTGCCTTTGCCAGCCTGATAATTTGACGTGATCGGTTTTAAAAAGTTGTACGGCTCACACACCGTGCCACTTATGCTTGGTTTCATGTTTGATTGACAGGCGTCTGCTGGAGAAATCCCAGCGAATCGAGGCCATCCTGGCATCTCTGCAGGCCAGCGGGGCCGAGCCGGAACAGCTGACCGAGGTTGAGGAGATGATCACTGCTCCTGAAAAGCAACAGCTGGAGTCTTTACGGGTCCATATCAATAAGTAGGAGCACAAAACAACACTACAATTCTCTTTTACACAGATGTCTGTCATCTCTGTGATCTGGCAGTGTGACCATTTGCACTATTTTCCTTTTCTTTTTTTTTCTTTTTTTCTTCCAGGTTAGATTCAGCAGAGAACCAGGTAGATGAAACCATCTTTCTTCTAGAGTCCTACGTCAACTCCACTGCCACATCCACAGGTTGAGTCGGATTTATGAGCGTTGCAACTCACCCATCATACTTAAGAAGATTTTGCTCTTACTTTTTGTGTATGAATGCCATCAAATGCGACTGCTTTAAAGTTTATAGCTAGAAAGTTTCAGTTTGGAATAAAGTGCGTGTTTTTACTGCTTGCATCAGCAAATGAAAAAACTGAGAACATGAATACTTTTCAACACTTTTAATTTCATTACAGAACAAACACAAAACTGAATGACAAACATAGGACAAAGTGATTGCTTGAAATGTAAAACCATGAAGATTTCTGTATATTAAATAGAAGTATTGTGGTTTAATACACTTTGGTTTTCCTTAGAAATTAGAAAAAGATTATTTACACAAGTGCTCCCAACCCTGGAAATAGTGGGTAGTGCATTTCTGTTTGACCCTCGTGATGCTTTCTTTGGTCCTGAAGGTCCCTGTTGCATCTGTGTCACGAGTCCAGTCCCAGGACTATCTGTGTGCCTGGTGGGAAGTGGACTCGGCTCATGTGGTAGTTGTCATAGTAAATGACTGTTGTCGTGGCAGCAAATGTTGGGCTCAGTCCTCATGGTTTTCATCCTCTCCTCTGTGTTTGCGTGTGAAGAACCCCAGCTGATGGGAAGTGAGATAAAGATTGATATTCTGTCCAAGGCACATCCTGGTATTTTCTTTGTTACGTAGATTTGGATAATGCTTCAGATCACAGCCAGTACCAATGAAATGTTTTCTAGGTATCTGCCAGTAGGCACAAGGGTAGAAGTACAGGGTATAAGGGGGTAACAAATTTGTATTTAGGTGGGGCCTTTATAAATGTAGTACTTTTTAAATTGCTTGTTTGTTTGTTAGTATTTGTATTTGACTTCATACTTGTATTTGTATTTGACTTCATACTTGTATTTGTATTTGACTTCATACTTGTTCATGATGTGAAGATATAACAAATATAAAAGCTGGTCTAGGTTCTACATCAGTGCTGTTCATCAGATGGATCTTAAAGTTCATCCTTTTGTCCCAGGATTGGTATGGAAGAAGTATGTTATTGACCCCCCCCGCCCCCTCCCCAAATAAACTATATAACACTGTAATTTGCTGTGATCTAAAGATATACATAAATTTGAAGTGAAATGTAACATGTACCTTCCACAGTGCGAAAATGATGAGGGCCAGTAGCAGTAAACCTCCAATGATGCTGCCGATCAGAATCCAGAGCGAGATGGGAATAGCTCGGCCCTTTAGCACTTCCAGTACAGTCTAGAGGAAAACACAGGAAAGGAGAGTTAAGAGAAAGTACATTGTATTCTCATTGTGCCACTCAAAAAACCAGTGTAGCCATCTCACCTCCCTCCAGACTGTTCCTGTGTCCAGAGTGATGAGGTTAGTCTCCTGAGCTGTGAGGCGATAGGCTCCTATTATCCTCACTGACTTATATTTGGCCTACAGAAAGAGACATGGTGGTGAACACCAATGTTTGTATCACAGGGCAGAAGGATTGTGTGTGAGTGTGAGAGAGAATCTCACTTTTCTGAAAAAGTCATCGTGCACTCTGCGGCTGACGCGAATGACAGCAGCCTGCCCTCTCAGAAGTTGCTGGACTTCACACACAACCTCTGTGCACCACGACCTGCTACAATTCTAGACATGTACATAGAAATACACGCACATATTAACATGTATGCTGGTGCTGCACACTGCTCAGTAGCTGCTGTGCTGCCCGGGGCCTCACCAGTATGTCATTCTGCATCATGTCTTCAGGATGAAGGGGTCGTACGTCTCTCTGTCTGGCCTTCAGCTGGGCCAGATCACTCAGCACGCTGCAGTTCACTCCTGTAGCCTATGGGACGATTTAAATTTGTCAGATATGATGGAAAAGAGAGATACAGACACTCGGGCAGAAGAAGTACTCACGTTGTATGAGAAGACATCAGTGATAGTCATGAAGACACTGTCTCCTGCAGCCACAGAGGGCAGATGCAGCCTCAACTCCAAATTACTCACAGCGTAACAGCCGAGGTTCTGCAGCTACAAATGTAAACAAATAATGCTCTGATTTTGCCCCATCTTTTTTTAATGGAAGTTTCACAAAACTTTTTTTTTTTTTTTTAAATGAGCATGTGAGACATACCCTGAGGTGCGTGTAGAACTCTGGTCCTATTGCCTCTGACACTGTTCGAGTGGGATGAACCTCGTATCGGTTCAAATTAGAGTCACTGCACAGAAAAACGGGAAAAAACCGAACATAAACACTCATATGCATAAAAACAAGGAGAAACTAAAATATCTTTATGCTGTGCACACATACCTGCTGACAAAGAGGTCTGGTTCATACTGAACAAAACTCTGTAGCTGAACACTGTTGTCCCCCAGAGTATCCTCTCTCTCCACGCTGTCACTGTAAAAGAACCAGATGGTTACACAAACTGGTTCCTTTCAAAGAAGAGAAAACATTATCAGTGTGTTCTTGTGGAATCAAAATTACAAATGAAATGTTTATTGGAGTATCTCTAAAATGTGTGCATGATGGAGTACGCAGAACATGCTGCTTTGGTGATCTACCTGGCAGCATTGAGCTTCATCTGGACTCGATTGTGCAAAGATGTGCAGCTGAACTCAAATTCCAACATGAAGTTGACCTGCAAACACAGAGGAGAAGAGGCGGCTGATGTGACACATTTCAGCTGGAGGACGTGGAGTATGAGTGGGCCGAGTCGAGAGTGATGGAGCCTTTTCCTTGGCATGGACGTACCTTTGACTGGGAGCGAAATACTGGATAGCTCACATTACACGAGTGGCTGTTAGCACCAAGCGCTGTACACTCAATCTTAAAGTGGGCATCCTCCTACGATAAAAGAGAGATGAAGAAAGAGAAGTTGTGTTAGGTAGCACATGTGGATGCATGTGTATGGTTAGTAACACGTGGTGCTGCATGTGTTTAGCGGTATACGACTGTTGTCTACCCGAATGCTGAGGCTGGAGAAGTGCAGGTTGCGTGAATAGTGCAGCGTCAGGCTGGTGTTGTAGGCGTTTTCCAGTCTGTTCTGGAGCTGTACCTCCACCGCCAGACGCCTACGAGGGCTGCGAATCACATAAGGCTTCTGTCTGTGGAGACAACACAATGAAAACTCACTGAAACCCCAACAGCTGAGAAGATGCAGCGAAGAGAGGAATGTCTCAAATCTGTACCTCGTCCCAGAGATGTCCATATGAGCCTGCAGCACCAGGTCTGTGGTGCACACGTCATCCTCACCACAGTCTTTAAAGAACGGGATCTAGAGAGGTACAAGGTCAGAGAACGGCATGTTTAATGGAGAAAAGAGGAAGGAAATGTCATCCAATAAGAAATCTTGTAAAGGTAACAGTCAATATTATGCCACTCACAGATTTCTTGACAGTGGTTGGCCAGCCTTCATCCAACACCGGACCGCTCTCAGTGTTGTTGATCTTAAACCGCAGCGAGAAGCTGATTGGACGGATGTAATCTGCTGTGTCCTACATCAAAGATAGAAATAAATAAAGTGTCACTCTGTCTGTCCTGATGCATGTGTATAGAGGCTGGAAGGTGTTTTTGAATGTGGCTGGTGTGTGTACAGACGCTCACATAGACATGGAAAGGCAGTTTGTAGCAGAGAGTTTGTCCTGTGTGAACTCGGACTGCCAGCTGAGTCTGTCTGTGGGAGCTGTCATCAAACAGGGCCCGGGCAGACAACTTCCTGTCATCCAACATCGCTGACACCCACAGATCTGAGGAGGGAGCCGGTAATTGAGACAGATGGTGAGTGTAGGAAATTTCACATTTTTAATAATAATTTGAGTGCCTGGCCAATTTACAACACTTATATTTCTCATTATAAGGATCCGAGACTATAAGCCTGTGAATTTGGGGTTTATGGAAAATACCAAAGCTGTTGCTATGTGGTCCAGGGGAGCGGGAGACAGCAGTGAAGCAGGCAGTGGCATTCAGACAGGCTGATTCTCTGCCACCCCTCTGGCAGGTCTTCTGAATGACGTTGATGGAGTGCGGTTGGAAGGACAGACTCACATTGATCTGGACTATGCTTCGAGAGCTGCGGACAGGAGGGACAGTCATTGAAAAAAAAAAAACAATAAAAGTGTTCGCTAGAAGCTATTTTTTTTTTTAGCAAGTAGATTATTTGAATTTACATAGTCAATCCAGTTCTTTTGTATTGTTTATTATTCTTAATGTGGAAGCTTTCTGGCTGTAGGTGATGCATTTAATGTATTGCCTAGATTCATTATATCCCAGTGCTTGCAGCTATAAAATAAAATCTGCACAGGCAATGACTTTCCCTTTTCCTCGTCTGTGTCTACCCACCTGAGCAGCACAGCACTGCCCTGCGCTCCCACTGCCAAGTCTATTAGCTCATCTCCATCCAAGTCCAACCGAGCACTCACACTGCGGCCAAAATACTGCAGGGAGGGAGAAATCGATGACCCTGGAATACGCTGTGAGGATGGGAGAGGCAGAGCCAAAAACAAAAGTTAGTTGATAGTTGATTTCTGAAATGCGCCGGCGAGCTTGTAGTTGTAGGTAAATGGCAAGTACCTGCTTATAATTGTGGTTGATGTAAATACCGTCTCCATGGTAGACATAGATGGCCCCCCTGTGCTCGTCCTCCAACGGGGCTCCAACCAGCAGGTCAGTGAAGTTGTCATGGTTGAGGTCAGGAGTGGCTGCCAGTGCATAACCAAACCTGGCATCCTGGGACTTTTCCTCTGACTTCAGAGTACCATTTAACACAAACACCTCTTCCTGAAAGATAAGAAAGAGGAGGGAGGAAAGGTGAACAAGTTGGAGGTAACTTGTTATGGAAACCTCCCAAGAATTTGATAAACGTTGTGTGTTCTCATAATGACTGTGTAATCATCCCCATGGAGAGGAGTGATCGGCGTCACTGCTGTCTTACCCCACTGAGGGTGTAGATGTAGACTCTACCGGCCTCCTTGTTTCCTGAGCCGAGGTACATTGGTGCAGCAACCAGAAGGACATCAGTGATGCCATCCTGGTCGATATCCAGCCCACACACCTCACTGCCATAGTAGGATCCAATCTACAGACAGAAACATGTTATTACAGCTTACTGCCAGTAGATGGAGTCCTTGCTTTAACCTCTGACAAATGAGATTCCCGCTGTTTTCTGCTCAAATAAATGAACAAATGAAAGTGACTGAAAGGAATGAAGAGAGACCCGAGCAGAGTGCGTTACCTGTTCTCCATTGAGGGCCTGTACAATGTTGACATCGCCTTCATTACTGAGTTCAAACAGGATGACTTTGCCTTTGTGTTTGAAGCGGGGAGCCCCAGCTACATACAGTCTCCTCCAGTCACCAACTATCACAGATGACACCGTGTAGCCTGAAAACATGTTTACATACATGTCATTTACACACTGCTGCTCAAATTTTGGCCTTCAGTAAAGAGTTGCAGAATCATACCTGATGTTTATGTGTCGTTTAATCCACTTACTACAAAGTGCATGTAAAATAACGCTCAGATAAGTAATGTGTCACATCTTGTTTTCATTTTCTGTCAATGTTTACATTTATATGTTCATGCGGTCTAAAGCTTGGTCTTGAAAATCCCACTGGGGTGGTGTGTTTAGGTGCGCGTGGAAAGCTCCGTCATTTGTGATTTGAGAGTGGGCTGGAGAACAGGAGTGCATTCACAGGTTGCGTTTTCAGAAAGTTACGTTGAAAGAACAACAATAAGTAAACAAGGATGTTTTGAAAAGTATCACATGTATTTTGGAGCTTATTGGAAAGAAAGAAGTTTCTGTTTTGGAAACAGTTAAAGCTAGTTCACTGGAGCACCAGACACTCAGGAGCCACAGAAAGCCGCAGGTTCACTGTTCGGCAGTTATTTTGCGATAACTTGATTAAGTGCAAGTTTGGACTATGAGTCAAAATTTAGTTTTACTGTTGGTGATATTTTAGCTGATATCAGGCGTACATAGTACATTTTCTTAAATATGTTTTCATTAAGTCAAATTATATCCAAACTAATTTGTGGGCAATTAAGGAGTATTGTGTCTGAATTGGGGCCCGCGGCTCATTTTTGCACTTCGAGATTAGCCTGGTGCCAGACCTCTGAATCACCACCCACATCTCTGATTTGTCCAGTGATGTATATAGGGTGAATAGAGATGAAAAAGAATAGAATAGAAAATTAGAATAGCAGAATATAAATAATATAATATTAAGCGCTAAAGGAAATAATAAAATGAAGTGAAACAAGATGGCAACTCAATCTGATTATCAGGCTACTGTGAGGTTAATCCAGCCAGTCTCTCATGTTGGAGCTTCCCAACAACATAAATGCACCACTGTAAAGGACAGACTCCTCAAGTCACTCCACAGAAAATCTGTGATAGTAAAGCATCAGCACATGACAAACATCAGTAATGATCCTTTGAGTACTATGTTGGGTGCATGACATGTTGGTACCTAAATAAGCAGCATGATTTTTGAGCTCCAGTGGAAACTCGCTCTCAAAAGCCTCTCTAGGCGGCATGATGCGTCCATTGGTCCCCTCCTTCAGCACTCCACCATCCCAATCATAGGCACCAACCATCCCAAACAGAATGCCATCCTGAAGAACAGAGCAGCGCATAGGTGAGAAACACAGGCAAAACGCTTTCACTTCACACACAGATGAAAAACTACAGGTTGGACTTACATCCAGCATGTGTGTGGAGAAGCCGATCTGAGACATCTCCATGTGGAAGGAGCTCTCATTGTAGCCCAGTGTGCCTGTAGGTGGACGGAGACAACAAGTCAGCGCTCTCCGTCGTCATGTTGTTCTTTACACATACCCTCCCTTCCTTCCTCTCACTCTCAGCATCTGATCTAGATGGCATCATTATCACCCTCACCCTGAAGACCACAGGTGGCAGATGTGCCTCGCCCTTTCCTTTCCTCCTGTCCTTTCCTCTCTGATTTCCTTAAACATTCACAGGGTGGCATCACCTTTCATCAGCCTTGCTCTCATGTTCCCGCAACTACAGTGATAGCTGTACACTCCCTCTACTTTTCCTTTTCTTGCTTTTTCGGCAGGACCGCTGTTTATTTTTTCACATTTTTCCCTCTCTTCCATTTTCTGCGCTGATCCCTCTGCACTTCTGACTCACATTCCTGTGCTTCCATTTCTTCTCCTTTCTCAGACATTACCTCCAGGTTTTGTTTCCTCTATAATGATCAATCTGATTGAACCAATAGTGTTATTGGGAAAACTATGGGTTCAATTTTAGTTTTTGAGTTTATTTGCTTTAATTGTCATACACTGTAAATAAAACCAACTAACTAACTTAGGTACATATTGCCACCATATCATTTTGTATATAGAAATCCAATATTTTACAGATTAGTTGCATGACAAACCAAAGCTGTTAATTAAAGCTGTTATTTTTTCTGGTTGACATAAATAAATCTGTACTTTAAAGCAGAGAATGTGTGGTTGAAGTGGATCATCTAAATAATAGTCAGTATTTGGATTTGGTCATTTCCTGGCATTGATACATCTTACAATGACTTACATAATGAAAAGTGTCACTGTCCCAGCTATATACATTATACAGTAAATATCTGTATTTTTATGCTTTTGCTTGTGACAAACAAAATACAACGGTACATATGCCATCATGTGACAAAACTATATATGAATTTTGATTTGAATTTTGAATTTTTCTCCTGCAACACCAGTGATCTTCGGTGCTAATCATTAACAAACTGTTACACTGCTGCTTTATTTCTTTCTTTTGTTTTTGTTTTGTTTTTGTGCATCTTTCATTCACCCCCTGACTCCTTCCCTGTTTCACACACCTTCCAGAGTGAAGATGCGGTCTCCCAGGGCATCCACAATGTCATTGAGCGCGGCTTCATCAGTCACGTTGAAAAAGTATTTGTCATCAGGGTTGCTGGCGATATACTTGATCTCATTAATGAACGTCTCAGGGTCCTGCTGACGACGGATGTAATGACCCAGAACCTGGAGCCCAGCGTGGGAAAAAAAGAGAGAGAAAATGTCTGTGAGAGCACACTCAAAAACACTGTGAATGAATAAGCAGATAACACAGGTTCAATAAAACATTGAGGGATTTGTGCTGGAAGCAGAGAAAGGTAGTGAAAGTGAGAAAAACAGAGCCTAAACAGATACTTTGGCATGTATCAGAGCAATTGCTTCTCCACCTTGAAGAGAGAAAGAGAGATATCACAGAGCCTGGAGTTTGAGGGAAGACAAGAGAGGGCCAACACCACCCCCTAATCTCTGAAGTATAGCACACAAGTAACCTGGAGCTGCAGGATTTAACTCTCCAACATGAAAATAAACACACTTCATAGCTGTGTCACTGCCTGTGTAATTTACCAGTAATTAAGCAATACCTAAAGGCAACAAACTGACTACAAAACATAAGACAGAAGGAAATGGCAGCCACCAGGGATTTGTAAATGAGGTGCACAGGCCTGGCGGAGAGGTGAAGAGATGACTGATGCACAAGATATATTGTAGCAGCAGCGGCCTATGGCTTGACGCCTGAAGTACAAATGAGAAAATTCCATAAGAGAAACCAAACCCAAGAATCTCCCCCTGTGACTCCAGCTGCCAAGCAAACTAAGGAAATCCTCTGTTTTCAAAGGGTAAGGGACGGAGAGGGGTGTAGTGTGTAATGCGAAGAGAGTCGACTTATAAATATGTACATTAAGATAGAGGTAAAAATTCCACTCAGGCCTCCAACCGCTGGTGGCTTTTACATGGTCATGAACACACAGAAAAATAAAGAAGAAATCAGAAAAATCCTGTTAAAATGCAAAACAAATTTATAGATTTTAACTATATTTTTATTTTTTATATTTTAATTATATTTAAATAGTTGTAAAGAAAAAAAAAAAAGTTACAATACATACTACACAGTTCTACATGAACTGCTCCCACACAAACACACATTTCTAGCCCCTGACCTGCACTGATGTATAAAACAGTTTGCATTGCCTGTGCTCTTTTGAAAGCTCAGCCCTCCCTTGTGAGCCATTTTCACTGCACACACACACACACACACACACACACACACACACACACACACACACACACGCACACAGGGGCAGCAGCACAAAGAGCAACATCAAAACATGGCTGCTGTTACAAGCACCACTTACCTGTCATCACTTTGACTTTTTGGGCAAACACTTGAACACAAAAAGCAGCTCATTCTCTGTTGTTTTCATCATCCATTTTTGTTTGTTTCTTTTATCATTCAAGGCTGTGTGTACAATTACCTTCAGTTTCTGCATCTGGCTGTCAGTTTCTTTATCTCAAACCAAACTTCTGTTGACCTAACACATGTCAGATAGTTCAAGTAGTTATACCCAAACCCACAGTGATATGACCATAACAGCGTGTTTTAACACAGTTAACCTTTAGTCTCTTCCTGTTTCCCCCCTTTAAAGCTATCCACTGTGAGATCTGTGGGTTCTCCAGAGTAGTACGGACAGTATTAGTGGCTCTTGAATCATTCATGCCCCCCTCAGGACGAATTGTAATAACTTTGGTGATCCTCTGACTTTTCAGGGAGCGCCACCATCAGATCAAAGTTTCCCTTCATCTAATACTTTGGTTTGTAACCACATACCCACAAAACTACTGGCACTAATTCCCATCAGCCTCAGCTACACTTTGTGTTTCATACTCAAATGTTAGCATGCTAACACTCTAAAGATGGGGGGGTCTTATACCTATTTACGATCAGCATGCTATTGTGAGCATGTTAGCATTAAGCTCAAAGCACTTCTGTCAAGCATAGGCTGTACACTCTTACTTTGATTACTTTGGGCACTACAAACAACTTCTTCATCTCTGTTGTATTAGCGTGGCAGCAGAAATCTCAGAGGACATCTCCAAACCAGGGCAAATAAAGCCAAAAACAATCTGCATGGTTTGAAACCACTAAAACTAAGTGTGAGCTGTCTTTAAATTTGGCTGAACCGATGCCTAAGACACAGAGTGCATTTAATTTCCCAAGATGTATTCCTTTAGTGAGGCAAAAAACAAAAAACAAAACATGGGGGCGCCCCAGTGGCTCAACTGGTAGCGCATACCACTTAGGCTCAGTCCTTACCGCAGTGGCCATGGGTTCAAGTCTGACCCATGTCTGACTGTATGTCATCCCCTCTCTCTCCCCAACTGTCACTCTCTCACTGTCCCTATCCGCAAAAATTGCCCAAAACAAAACATGGTCTATAACAATATGGTAAATACAAACCTTTCATTTTCTATGCTAAATCGTCCAGACAGATTCCCAGCACACAAACTTTATAATGATTCCAACATCCGCACAAACACAGACTTGTAACTGAGCTTCTCCATCTGTCGGTCACTTGGTTTATCTGATCTTCACCATCTACACATATTCCTATGGTGGCACTTTTTTGGCACACTCTCAATGGTGGCTCATGTTCTCCTCTTCTGTGGTTCCAGTGGAGTCTGAAGGTTCCCCAGTTTCTCTTGAGGGATAGGGAGGGGTCTGCGAGCAGTCCTGCCACTAGAGTCTGTCTGCTCCTCTGAGTCTGAAACCATACAACCACTCAGTGCGTTTCTGTGTGTAGAGGGGGTCGGGTGGGGCTGGAAAGGAAGAGTTTTTGTTCCCACTTGGCTATTTTAGTAGACCCAAGGGGTTCATTTGGTAATTTGGAGATGTTATTTTTGTGGGAGTGGTGGTGGTATTGTGCAGTTGCCTGAGGGTGTAGAGTATATGGTCAGCGTACCTCTTTCAGACAATGTGCTGGAATGTCAGGGAACATTTTAAGCATCAGGAGAAAGAAGAACCCGGAAATTATGATATTTCAGCTCCTCCAAGACAATGACCCATTGAGACACGATGAGATGTACTCACAGCAATGGCGTATCTCGTAATGTTTCTGTTCTCGCACTCCGTCAGAGCGTCTGGTAGCTCCTCCCCATCGTGTGACTCTCCATCTGTGACTACGATCATCACCTTGGTGGCGCCCTCCCTCGCTCCACGCTCAGCGCTGAACGCCTCTGTGCTACAAAGATGGAGAGAAAGTGAGACAGACAGATATATCAAAAGATGTTATTCAATCATGCCAATTATGAAATCCTGGCTGAACTCAATTTGATTTGAGACAGAGAGCATGAGAGGAAAAGAGAAGAAAAGTATGAAGTTAAAGGATTGAAAGGGCCAAAGGGAGAGAGAGGGCACCAGGGAGTATCCAGTCAGTTTCCAAAAATCTCAAATAAACGTCCTCCATAAGATAACATACAATTTCAAGTGCTTCTCTGAGAAAATGAATAGCTAGTAAAACAGTGAGACATTGGATTTGAGTCGCTTCCCATCAAGTATAAATGGTTCAAAACACAACTGGGCCTTTCCAAGACTATATTGGTCATGCTTGACACACATACATTAGCTGCCAGTTGACTCGAATTGGTCACTGCAATGTGCATGTGTCACTGCATACAGTGACCGCATCTGTGCATTCCCATCCGGTTGTGCCATGATAGAGAGGAAACCTTAATGACAAACACACACCAACAGACCCAGGCCGCACCCTGTTTGTCTGCAGGAAACCTGTTCTCAGCAGGACCTGCTTCAAGTGTTGAATAGGGTTGGTAAGCCTCAGACCAACACACACACACACACACACACACACACACACACACACACACACAACTGGGAAGAGTAGTCACTGCTAGTGAACTCAGTCATTTTCAGGCCTAACTCCAGCCCTTGCCTAAATATAACATTGTGGTCAGCCGCAAGAAACTCAGAGTTAAAAACAACTGTTTCCCCTATGCAGTCTGCAAATTACATAGGGTGCAGAAAAGGAGAGGACAGGAGAAAACAGAAGAGAGGAGTCAAAGTAAAAGAAAGGAGAGGAAAAATAGATGACTAAAAGAATGGGGAAGATGATAAAAGAAGTAGGGAGACTGCAATCGTTGACAGAATGAAAAGATAGCCAGAGAGAAGGGAGATGAGCAAAACAAAAAAATACAAACAAAGGTAACTGAAAAGAATAAAATGGGCCTGTGAAACTATTTTAAAAGAACTGAAAGAATGATAAAAGACAGTAAAATGGAGCCAAACAGTAAAACTAATAAGTGCAAATCCTGCTTTGATGTGGTATTAAGTTCGTGTGAAGTGTTCAATGAAATAAAACTGGTAGAAGAAAGAAAGAAACCAAAGAGCGAGCAGGGCAGTAGAAGAAAGCGGGGGATAAACGACGAGCCAAGACAGATATAAACAGGTAAAAAAGGAAGGTAGAATAAAAACAAACAGAGGAAAGCACAGAAAAATTAGGATGAAAGAAACAAGGAGATGGGAAAGAGGAAAGGGGAGATGAAAGAGGAGAGAAAGTGAGTAGGGCTAATTGGGAGGCCTGGTTGTATTTACTAGCCATTTTATGGAGTCACAGTAGTACGGTAATGACACAGCGCAGCGGCCTGTGTGTGTACTTTCATGTGTATGTGTGTGGGTGACTGAGAGTGTCTCAGACGGGTGGAGCAATATAAAAATCAGTGGCTAATCCAATTGTAGAGGGTTGTTTGATGTTCATGCATGAGTCTGTCATCTACTCTGCCTTGAAACTGTACAACCTACAGTCCATTACTGTCATTTACATGTCGACATTACACTTTGCCCTGGTGCCCTACTGCACAGGAAGATGAGTGTCAAAACAGACGTGCCGTTCTTGGTAACTGTGTGTACAGTGTGAGGAGACACAAAATGCATTTAGTGTTTGTGGTGTTCAGTGTGTGTGTGACCACAGGGGGTGGGGTGGGGTGGGGGTGGGGGGGGTGGGGGGGGCGACTTGCTTGAGAGTTTCCTTTAAAGGCTGAGACCAATTCGCTTCAAAGTATAGGCCTAATAAAGAAAGCAATAATTTGACAACTTTGGAAACACATTTTTTTTCACTTTCTTCAGTTGGACGAGAAGATTGATACCACTCAGTCTGTATATGTAAATATTAATCTACAATCAGCAGCCTTTAGCGTAGCTTAGCATAAAGCCTGGAAATAGTACAACACAACTAAGCTTTGTTCAACTGTAATGAAATCCGCCTATCAGCACCTTGAAAGCTCCATATTTAACATGTCTTGTTTGCTTAATCCGTACAAAACTGAACTTTAATAATGACCCGCTGCAGTGTCACTGGGGGTTTTGTGCCAGACTATTTCTTGGCAGCAAACCTGAAGCTTTAGAGGTGAGCAGATATTGTTACCTGCGGACAGAGCCTGACAAGACGAGCTGTTTCCTCATGTTTCCAGTCTGTACGCTTAACTAAGCTATGCTAAGTTAAGCTAACTGGCTGCCTGCTGAAGCTTCATATTTCCCATACAGACATTAAAGTGGTATCGACCATCTCATCTATCTCTCAAACAGAAAGTAAACAAGAGAGTCAAGTCTCTTTAAACTGTTATTTTCTGCGGTTTTACAGTGAATTTTTTTTTCTTCTATTGCAAACTGTTGCTGCTTTTTATTGTTTTCCATTTTTTTCCCCCATTTGTTTTCCCCTGTCATCACTACACTTTTAGCATTTGTGAATCGAGTTACATAGTGTAGCAGATACAGGTGATACGAGTGGTTGTTTTTCTACTGACTTGGCTGAGATGACAATTAAACTACCATCCGTTTCCGTCATCTTCCAAGAAGACCCAGACAGTCAGGTCTTAAGTGAGTCAGAAATCGGATCAGACAATTTGAAGTCTAAGTTTTCTGTGATTTTACCTGACTAAAGTCCAAGTGTAAAGTTTCAGGCCAGCTCTGTGTTAGTGTGTACTGATCATCTTGACAAGAATATGAATATCAAAAATCTCCAGAGAGAGAGAGAGAGAGAGAGAGAGAGAAGGACCAGTTTGCACGTCTTCTTTTCTTTTAAGAGCTATTTTAGCTAAGTGCTCGGGTTTAGGGTTAAGTTTATAATAAGGACAGGGCTAGGGGTAAAGGTTAAAAGTCAAACATGCTGTTAAAGTTGAGGTTAAGGGGCCACGGAACGAATGCAGTCAATGCCTTTGATGAGCATAAAGATTAAAACTATATGCATGTGAATTTGAAGTGTATGGTGTCAGTCCCTGATGTGTGTGGGGGTATTCATCCATGCATGTGTGTACTGTACATGTCTGTGTGTGTATTTTTACAGCTGTAGCAGCACTACTTGGCTGACCAGGCTGGGTCAGGCCGTGCCACACCTGCAGCCGTGCTGAGCCAGCAGCCAGTTGGTCCAGCTCAGCTAATCTCACTGTTTTTCTACCCCGTCACTTTCCTGCCCAGTACCAGCACTGCTATCTGTCCATCTGTCTGTGTGTATGTGTAAAGGGGGAGTACATATGTTTGTATAAGTCTTAATGTAAATTGTTATATTTTGATATAACCTCCTCTTGATATCAAATCAATCTAAAATTATTTTAGAAACTGTAACCTAGGCCTGATTTCTTTACTCTGGCACACACACCAGGATGAGAAAACTTTCAGTAGCTTGGGTGCTATATTTCTTTTTTAGTAATGGGCACTGATGAGTCTACCGACACAGTGTTTTCACCATCTGTCAGTGGGGGAAGCCAGTGACAGTAAGAGGCAGGGAGTGGACAGAGTGGGTAGTGGTGTTGTCTGATTTTCCTGTCGCTGGCGTTTTAAGGCCACAGTTACACAATTTTAATGGCTCCATTTTCCAGTCACTGCTTTTCAACTACCTTTTAAATGTTCCTCCTAAACCTCTCCAACTTTTACCTTTAAATGTACCAGAAAACAGGAACTCTCCAATTACCTGTGTGTGTGTGTGCGTGTGTGTGTGTGTGTGTGTGTGTGTGTGTGTGTGTGTGTGTGTGTGTGTGTGTGCGCGTGTGCATGTGTCAAAGTAGAATACCTCTCCAAGACACACATCCCAAAATGGAAGTCGTGGCCACACATCAGGTCTGGGTGTGGTGCTCTATGTGGGTATGACTTTAATAAAGCAGGAATTTTATTTTGAAAAGAAAGGGATATTTTAAGACTTAGAGATTTTCACTGACCCTCAACCTATAGAGTTGTTTCTTTAGACTTGGGTTACAGTCTTAAACACCCCCAACATATTTCTATGAAGAAAAGTCATGAAGGTGATGACAGACCAAGCAACGATACAGCCAGGAGTAATGAAGAGGAGAGAATTTGAAGACAGTGGTGTAAGAAGTACTGAGATTCCCTGCTTGAGTAAAATTAGCAATACTACATTGAAAAAAATTGTATTACAAGTAAAAGGCCTGTATTTCTAATTTTACTTAAGGAAAAGAACAGATATATGATTTTTTTTTAATCCAAGTAACAAGTTACTTGGATTCAAAAAAGGAGAAACATTATCATTCATTCAGAGTTGTGTTTGTGTTCACCTGGCAAAGTCTAATATTCACTTTTCTTTTAGTTCTCCTTTGGTTTCCACCAACTTTAGCTGCTAAATGCTCCACTGTGTTCACCAGCTAGTTTCTAACTAAGTCTGTCTGCTGTTTGGTGCTGGGTGGGTAGCATACAGTGGCCTTGTCAGAGCTTTTTAGCTGCAAACAGCTGCCTGCTACAGCTGGAAATGTGTTTCATGAGAGCAGTGCAACTGAACCAAAACAGTAAAGTTATGAACCATAATACCAAAACAATGGGCTGAAAGATGTTAAAATGACTTGATAAAGCGGAGGATTTATCATACTTATGTATAGGTCTGTCACTACAAGTTACTCCTTTCACATTACATACAGTCATGTGATCCACTGTTAAACTAAAAATATTAGTGTTATCAAAACATTGATTAGAGGAGCTCTAAGCACTCCATGATGTTTAATCTAATTCTTCTGATAGTCTGGTAAACCATAAATCAAAAGCAGCCTGATGGGATTATACTGGAGCATATCATTAGAAAGAAGAACAGACTAGAGGCAAATAGACCTGATTATCATTATAACTACAAATTATATACAGATATTTTTGGAGAGAACTAGAAAGATGTTACACCAAAATCTAAACAGCCAGAGAGTTTCCATTTACCCAGCCAAATCTACAGTATGTTCTAATACAAAGAAGAGGAAGGATTAGCCAGTAAGAGTGAAGTAACAGTGATTGATGGGCCTACCAGGCCATGTGGATGGCGTATGCAGTGCGTGTCTCTCGTCCCTCTTGACGGCTGATGTTCTTGGCAGCCTCTACCACCTCCTGTGTGGTCTGGTAGTCCTTCAGAGACCACTCGTGGACTGCTACCTCGCCATACTGAAGTATACCAACCTGAATGCACACACACACACACACACACACACACACACACACATACACACACACACACACACACACACACACACACAAACACGCAAGCATTTCAACAATGCCACATGTTCATGGTTGTGCTGGCACATAGTTGTGGAAAGCAACATCTGAGACTCATGTTTCTGGGGTGAACTATCTCTTTAAGTACCAATCCTGTTCTTAAAGCAAACAGTGCACTTGGGGAATTTTTGAATTCATTCAAAAACCAGAGGTATTTCCTCTTCACCTCACATTGCCTGCTACCCCCTCTCTCTTTTCAAAACCCAAACCCCCTCTCACTCCTCTTGTTGTTTGGCTCAGAATAATGTCCCAAGATCCCCCCCTGCCAGCTTCCATTCCTCCTCAACCTCAAGCTAGCTCAGCTCATGTCGCTTTACATTACTACTGCAATTCATTCTGGTCATATTTGCCAAACTGGTTCTTTATATGTGTCACACTGTGCATGTTTTGACTCAAGGGACTAGCTTGTCTTAATGTTCTGGGCAACAGCTAAGGGGTTCCAGAGGTTTAAGTGCGAGACAAAACTCAAATTCAAACCCGCAAGTTTCCATTACCAATGTAAATAATATTTATAAGCAGCGCAAACAAACGTCGATTTGCACTTTTACCTGCATCTGGTCCGAGCTGATGTGGAACTTGCTGAGGATGTTGCTGAGGAAGTTCTGGACCTCATACCAGGGGTAGATACTGTTGGAGCCATCCAGCACGATCACGATGTCCATGTATGTGGAGCACCCTACCACATGTGGGAGTTCAAAAGTATTTGGTTAGCTAAGACAGGCCAGTGCAGCATGTTTCTCTGCCTCAGTGTGTGTGTGCGTGCATGAATGTGTGTGTGCGTGCATGAATGTGTGTGTGCGTGTGTGTGTGTGTGTGTGTGTGTGTGTGTGTGTGTGTGTGTGTGAGAGCAAATGTGTGGTTACTTTGCGCTGTTGGAGCGATGGTCTCCCGTGGTTCTAGGTCATCGCTGACAGAGGCACAGATACCAGTGCTGAACATAGACGTACCACACTCCTGAGACCACAGCGGGGCACATGCCTGCCAAACCACAGGCACACACACATACATACACACACACACACACACACACACACACACACACACACACACACACACACACACACACACACACACACACACACACACACACAACAGCATCTGTTTTACAGGTGAAGCAATTTCGGGAGCATTTACAGTCAATTTGAGCAGTTTACATTTCTAATTATTTCTGTTCCGCTCTCGAGACGTGTAGGTGGTTATTTGGTTGTTATCAAAGGGTTTAAACACGTAGACATATGTCACCGGGTGACCCAAGTTTAAACACATAAAAAATACAAAATGAGGATAGACATGGAACAAAAAGAAAACAAGTCATAAGAAGGAATAAGTCATGGAAAAACTACAATAGTGTGGTTTAGGTCACAGAAAAATGAGGGAGAGGCAGAGAGACTATTGTTGACATGTTGGCAGTCACTGTTGTCATGAGTGGTTTAACAGAGCTGGAACACCAGACCGGTAGAGCAATTTAAATCTGATTGTGCTAAATGTAAGGGGGTGAGTGTGGGGTGGGGGGAGGTATCACATTTCAAATATTTCTGTCTTCAAAGCATGCCGTTTATTTGGCTTTCATACTAAGAGGGAAGAATATGGGGAGAGTGTGGACAGAAGAGATAAAAGAGAAACTCATGCATTCAGCCGAGAGACAAAGGAGGTAGACCAAAAGTGGGGTGAAATGGGGTAGAATGAGAGAAAGAGAAACATCCTGGTTTTGCTTGCCCTGTCATTATGGACGGGTTTCTCCTCAGGAACACAGACAGGCAGGGAGGAAAGGATGGAGAGAGGGATGAGAGAAAAGGAGGAAGATGGAGAAAAGCGAGAGAGGTGCTATGGCTTTTGGTAGGTCTGTCATTAACAAAGGGCCGGAGACGCATTCCGATCCTGTTATAGACCTGACCGCTGGGGTTAAGATACACACACACACACACACATTAAAGTGGGTTATGCTGGCTAGCATTCATGAACTGTGCACGACTGCACACCCGAAGCAGCAGTATAAACCTGGCAGACACTAAAACACGCCAGCACGATTGCCTAACACACATATATACAGTATATGCACACATATTGAAAGAGTAACTAACATGCACACACACATACTGCGCGCGCACACACACACACACACACACACACATACGGTTGCAAAAGTGTGTTTGTATGAAGGCCAGGCGCCTCGGAACTGGAGAAATCAGGATTGGAGAGCAACAACAAGATGTGTGTGTCAGAGCTGTATTTTGGAGATACTAGTCACAAAGTTATCATCACACCAAGCTCAGCACAGCAGGGACTGACAATAATAATGTCCCCCATTACAGGAAGGTAGACTACAGGTGGATGCCTGGGTGGAGGTGGAGCTAAAAAGATTAATTGATTTATCAGTTTGTCAAATGAACAATTTGAAGATGACACCTCAGGCGATGACACCTGGCTCTTTTCTTTTGCAAGTAGGGGATCAGTGAACTGCACATGGTGGCATCTAGAGTCAAATAAAAATACACCAACGGAAATGATTCATTCAAATTCAAGTCAAACAAACAATCTGCTCTCACCACATCCCTTCAGGATCCCACATACAGTATGTCTCACAATGCCCACGTAGCAAAAATAAAAATCCCCGTTTTCCAGTGTTTAGACTACATACCAGGAAGCCATCAGGTGAGTCTGGAGTGAGGGTCATTCCCAGGTGAGAATTCCTCAGGTTTTTGGAAACGTTCTGAAGAGCAGTCTCACCTGAGACAGATGGACAGACCAGTTTAGCATGAAGTGACTTACAGTATGTCTAAACTTGATGTGAATTTTTTCGGGGATAGCCCATTTTGTTCAGGTTATTCGTTTCTCTTACCTAGATTCACTTTCCTGCAGTTTGAGTTCCTCTCCTCTCCCACAATGCATTTATACACGTCTCCTTTCCTGTTGTTGGGCGGCCCATCCCAGGGGGCACCAACCAGCATTCTTCAACATAATGACAAAGCCCATTATCACCAAAACATCATCACGCACCCTCTTTGTGTAAGAATTATGACAGTTTAATTATGTTTATTTTTCGCTGTCTCTCTTTCTCCCTCACAGTCTCACACACACTTACGACTTCTCTCCATCCACTTCATGCTGTAAAACAGAAAAGCCAAACAGCGCGTCCTCTGGACCCGTGAAGATGCGTGGATGCTTTACATCTATGTTGAAACACTGACACAACTCTGGAAGATATAACAAAACATATTATTACACAGATAACAAGTAACAAAGAGACAACAAGTACAATGTTTTTTTTTTTAACTGGCATTCCCATAACCTTTTAAACACAACTGACTGGTTGGTCGGCCACTAAAAACTCTTACTGTGCAGCCAAACTTCGTTCAGTCACACAGAAGTCAATTTTAAATTCTGGTGAAGATCCCAAAGTTTCCAAAAACAACAAATATGATATAATCTTGAGGACATGTATATAAAATGATTCATAAGGCATCAAGAATATTTCCATTTGATGAAGTGCTGCCTCTGCAGAAAACAATGAATCTTCAGTTTGAATATTTCAAACATTGCATAGCTTCAAAGAAAAGTTCGAACAAGCTGATACAGAATATTGATGACGGACTGTCACACAGTGTGGAAGTAGATTTCTTTTTTACAACGTTAAAGCTACTTAAGGGGAATTAAAAGGGGGAAACTGGATATTAAAGGACACACTTATTCACTTTCTCGTAGAGAGTTGGAGGAGAAGATCAATACATTTCTCACATCAGTCCATTAAATATGAAATTATGGCCAGCAGATGGTTAACTTTGTTTAGCACAAAAACTGGAAACAGGGAAACGGCCACCTTTGTCCGAAGACGCCAAAAAAAGCCAACAAGCTCCCTATAACGTATCACAGATTAGGACTTTATATCTTGTGTGTTTGATACGTATAAAAACCAAAGTGTAAAATTAATATTTGTTTATTTGTTTGTTTTTTAATGACTTCGAATTTAGTGAGCAGACATGAATGGTATTGCTCTTCTCTTCTCTCTCACATGAAGAAAAATGGAAAGTGGAAAGTGTTTTTAGCAAAATTTCTAACTTTTCCTTTAAAACAGTATAAAATATGATTTGACACATGCATAACACAATAGCCATTAAAGTGATTTAAAAACACGCAAAACATGAAACTGTAAACTGTAAACAACTGATGTTACATCTACGGTGCAGAGTTAGATTATTATTTTCCCTCTTGGCCTTGGAGAGTGGGCTGGGAGAGAGAAGAGGAGGGGGGTTGAAAATGTGGATAAACAGAGTGACCAAAAGCAATCTCTGAGGAAAAAGGGAGTTCAGTCTGAGGGGAAAGAGGGAGAGGAGAGGGGAGAGAAGAGAAGAGGCAAGGCAGAGAAGGGTGTGGGTTAGAAAAACTATGGAGTATAGTAAGCCCCCTGTTATGACACACAAGCCTGCCCTTCATACATAGAGAGAGAGAGAGAGGTGAGGTAGACAGAAGACAAAAATGGTTGTCAGACAGTTCACTGAGTTGTGAAAATTTAGGTGTAAACTGACGAATGAAAACTAGTTCTAACTGGCAAAACGAAAGACACAGCTTGTTTTTTCAGTCTGCAGGAAAATGCTAAATTCCAGTGACATAAAGGTACATCAATTAACTGTTTCCTGCTAGGATTATCAGAGTGAAACTAAATGAATGAATAGTTCAAAATCAATTATATCCAACTAAGGATAGACTCTTTAGCTGTAACAAAGACTTCACATTTCAAAGTAAATTTTGTTATAAGTTCAGTGCAGCCCAGAATTAAATTTCCTGCACAAGTCGCACAACTCTTCTCTATTACATTATACTTTATTCATCAAACATTTAGGGTGACCTTGCCCTCCTGGTTTTAATTAGTCATGCTATTCTAAATATGAAGCTATAGCCAGCATCCAACAGGCTATATGTTGACTAGCTTAGTGTAAAGACCGGTAACATGGGGAAACGGCTTGTCTCTGTTCAAAAGTAACAAAATCTACCCTAACCCCAACCAGCACCTCTAAAGCTCATTAACGTGTTGTATGTATATCGTTAGTTTAATCTGTAAAAAACTGAAGCATTAAAGTGAAAATTCACTGTTTTATTGGGGGGGGGGTTGTTACTGTCACTGAATAAGTATATTTCCCAAATATCAAATGTCAAACTATTCCTTTAATGTTTTACAAGAAAGCTATAAATGACTTGAAGTCATTTATATCAGCTGATTGCTCTTACTTACTTTTGATACACTCACGCCAAGACTGTTTGCTGTCACAGCTCCCTCCTTCAGACCAACCTTTTCTTTATGTGCTATATTTTTGGTACTGTAATGTAACAAAGATTTAATCTTCATATAATACAAAGGGGTATTTATTCTTCAACCAGAATCTTCACTGCTGGACGGATTATTCAAGAGCTCCCTGAGAGAGCAGAGTCTTTCTCTCCAAACCTGACAATTCCTTCCACGAAAGTCAGTCTCAGAAACACCATGAAGCTCTTCACAGTAGGTATTTAACTATCTGTATATGTGTATCTACTGTATGCTATTTGTAGCCTTGAAAAGCAGGGTGTGTTTTGTTAAAGGGACTTTTTAAATAAATTTGACTTGACATGTAATTTAGCAGCATCCGGGGGTACAGTAGCTCTCATGCCGTACATAACTCAGTGATACCACTGGAGAAAAGTAGTCCAGGATGGGAAACAAGACCAGAACACTGCTGCTGTGATTATACACCATCTACTCACACACTTGTATACAGATACTTCCCCACAAATACACACAGACAGTTACCTCAGCCAGGCCAATCAGAGGGGGGATTCCACTTGGTTTTTGAGTGAGAAACTAGATATGTTCACCGTTTCTCTTCCATCTCTACTCCTGCATGCACATACTGTAATTTCTTCATCTTGCTCGTTCACTTTCTCATTCTTACAGATGTTTTTCCTGTAATGTCATTGCATTTTCAATCAGGTTTCATGCTTTTTATTGTTCCCAGATTTACTCACTGGACACCCAAAGCTACAAGGATGTGGGTTTTTGGATGGCAATGTTGGTCCTTCAGTTGGTCTTGATTGAAACATCTCAACAACTATCACATGTTGGAGATGCCCTGACCTCTCGTCTAGCACTACCATGAGGCTCATAAGTTTTGTGGTTTTGTGTTAAAGGTAGAGTAAGTGATTGTAATCTAATACACTCTTTTAATCAAATTAAGTTAATATCTCTTGATGGTTAGCTAGCTATCCCTTCTCTGTGTGTACTGAAAAAAGACTCAGGTGTTCCTACACAGCCCTGGCTCTGTGCCATCAGGTCAAAATTTGAATTGGTCCAGTCCTTTGGTTTATGACTACATATCTAGAACTAACAACATTTCCATCAGCCTCAGCTTTACTTTGTGTTCAGTACTAAACTAGCTCATTTCAATATGGTAAATTGCTAAACTAAGATGGTGAACATGGTAAACATTATATCTGCTTAGTATCTGGATGGTAGCATGCCAGCATGAGCGTTTTGTACCTCTGTGCCTAAATACAGTCTCGCAGAGCCGCTAGTATGGCTGTAGTCTCTTAGTCTTGTTTCTGTTCATCTTGTAGATCTGTATGAGCTCCCAATATTTCAACCTCCAAACCCCCAGTGACTTTGAAAATCGGCCATCTCTCTGATTCTACACAGATGTTTAATACACTCCACCAATGGGAATATGCGTAGGCAAGGATACAATAATTCCTTAACACTAAATCTCCCGTTTTCATGGCTAGAATGAATAAAAATCTCTCTATCCCAACTTGCTGCAATAAGTTATTCCCTCTTATTCTCTACCACCACCCTTCTTACACACAGCTTTGTTAAATTTGATTGTTTTGTCTTGTCTTTTCTTGTGGCAACATCATCCACCCTTTCCAATTCCAAATTTCTGTCCACAACAAACCAAGCCTCTGATAACAACCTCTGCTACTGATTTTCTCCTTCATCCTCCTAGTTCACTCATTCTCTCATAAACCATAAATTGCTCCCCCTTTTTTACCCTCTCTCCTATAACACACAGAAACACACACTGTAACTCTACCACAAGGCCCCCCTCTCCCTTGCCAACCCCTCAGACTCCCACAAAACGGTACCATCATTCCCTGTTTTCCCTGTCCTGTCCTCCCTCCTCTGGTTTCATTTTCATTGGGGTTTATATATATGACACTGTACCGCAGGCTGTCTGACCACCCATCGCCATGACAACTGACGGCAAACATTTATCAAGCCAAACTGAGTCCAGATTCTCTCAACCACACATTCAGCTCTGGGCACTACTGCTGCTCAATGTGTATGGTTGTGAGTGTGTAGTAGGCTATATACATATGTGAGTGTACATGTTTAGGAAAAGAAACTGAACTTCATACTACAATGTACAATCTTCCTGGTCCTTTGCTCAGTGTCTTTAACTTACATCGCTGACTTATAGCACCTCTGTGAAAGGTCCAGCAGTAGAGATGTCTGCTTGATTGTCTGTTTCTATCATCTTTATTTCTGACTCATAATGTTTCCCGTGCACCCACCCCAGCTTCACCTCTTCTTACTCTTTCACAGATTTTCTCTCCATTATCTCAAACGTGTTCTGTTCTCATCTCTGTCACCCTCTCGTGGGGAATGGGGGTGGAAGAAAAGGAAGAGGGGGAGTATAGGAATGAAAATCAGCAAATGATAGGAGAGTAAAAAAACACAAGGAGATAGTTGGGAGTATAATAGCAAGAATTTATGAATGACCGGTGAAATGGAGTTCAACACACATAGGCACACACACCTGTGTTCGACATCTCAGTAAAGCATAACAGAGTGTAACAGACATGGGATTCCTGCTGCCCACATCAGGGGAGCTCTGCTGAAACCATTAACATTACACACATACTCCCTCAACTACATGCTCCTGTATGACACATGCACAAGCTAAAAACATCACACACATGCAAGAACACACACACGCACACACACACAAACTAAAATCACATAAGCTAAAGCACAAATTAAAGCACAGGTTAGGTGGTAAAAAGAGGGGGAAAATTACCCTGTACATGCTTGATTTCAACAGCTAATGGAGGGTAATGTATAAAACCATACGACAGGCAACATTTGGTTGCTGGTATGTGTAAAAAGGTGTGTGTGCCTGTGTGAATAACCTCAGTGCTATATGCATTCCTTGTTAATTACTCAGCTACTGAATGAGAAGCACTTTGCATATAGCCTGGATAATCAGGCTTTAGTCTAAAGTTCAAATTTGGCACAAATGCCAACATCTCAATCTATAGATCAACTTCAGACACTGTGTGTGTGTGTGATTCAGTGCAGATATGAACTCAACATGCCTTGCACAACATAATATCTCACCCTGTTGATCTAATTTTTCTTAATGGCTGCATGCTGTAATGCAGCAGTTTAACCGCTGCATAAGTTTTGGTAGACAACAATGGTCTTTTTCTTCAGTTTCTTCCTGGTGAGCAGGAATGGCTCAATGAGGTGTGTGAGGCCGCTCTGCCTCAGTGAACATGAGTAGTTGAGGGTAGCTGATGTTCATGTTATATGGAGAAAAGACTCGTGGCACCGACGCCTTATTAAGGGCACGTTAGACATCAAGTCTAAGAGATGGAAATGGCCGATGTGACCCGTGAGGTCGTGTTACACAGCTGCCAGGGTTAGAAGGTGTCAGCTGTAAGCGGAGATGAACCAGTAACCTTTTGGCAGAGGATACATGCAAATATCTCTGATGGCTCCAGACATCTTCTGGTAGCTGAAGGCCTCCAAAGAGAATGAAATACTTCCTCAGTATGGACATCACTGATAGATTTACTAAAGGATTAGACTTTGAACCAGGAACCATCACTTTGTTGGACTCATGCGCAGCTTCCTATACGTTTGATCTGTTTGGCAAATGGAGTGTGGCCATATGTTTTAATACGCCTGCCTCTCTGCTGCACCGCACACAGTCATGTTAGGAATGTCTTCAAGGTCAGTCGTTTACTGTCACACAGAACAAAGCTCTTTGGGACTCGGGGAGGCACGTGTGACTCCATTATTCACATATGTTGTCTGTTAAAGAAGAAAAGTTGTGGAGGTTAATGACCATATCACCCAGTTAGACAGCACTGGAGGGCAGGATAGCAACTGGGCAGGGAAGAAGCATCAATCATGGACGAGCGTTTGACTTTTCATAGAGTTTAAGGAGCTTTAGGATTAGTGACTGGAGTATTTGCCTTCCTGCTCAGACTCAAATAATTTTTTTTTTTTCATATGTAAAAATTAAATTGTAGTTGATTCTTTTGAATGAAAAATTTGGGAAAAACATAAATAACACTGAAAAACTGGACTGAAAAGTAGTTCTTACCTTTAAAAAGGAGGAGGAACCCCAGGCACAACAGGTATTTACGCAACTCCATTTATGAAGCAGAGTGAAAGCAGTCTCTCTTTCTTCTATTTTTGTTCCTTTTTTCCCCTGTTTACAAAGTGGTCTCCCCTGAGCTGGTGGAAATGCAGTACATTGGCGTCCACCACACACACATACACACTCACACACACACTCACACACACACGCACGCACAGACGCGCTCTTTCAGCTCTCTCTTTCCCCCAGAGATGAGTAAAATCCTGTCAAACGGTGCTGCAGTGGCATGTCTGCTGTACTTGTGTGAGGTTCACTTCAGGACCGATCCGTTCACAAAACCAGAAAGGGGGTTGTCAGATATAGATTAAGATAAAAAAAACAATTAATAAAAAGTATTCTTGTCCGTGGTTTTTGGCGTGTTCGCGCTTAAAGTCCCTTAAGGAATATTTTTTACTGACACCACGCTGGATAGGTATTGTGATGTCTTAAGGTTAAAATGAAGCAAAAAAAAAACTTAATTGACGCTTCAGTGACCCATGTTTCGGGCGTGAAAATCACTGCACCTGTCCCATCAAACAAGAGGCCGCAGTTCAGAATCATTAAACCATCACTAACGTGTAACACCTTCCCAAACAGTCAGTCAGCAGCGCGCTTTATCCGACTCCGGAGCGCGTCTTTGAAGATCAAACTCTCCTGTGGACACAAACTCCGTCCATCAAGCCAAAAGTTTGAGGTGAGTTGCTGAGCGCGGTTCCTCTGATAACTTGTTATCCATGATCCTGTCCGGTGGTTTTCATAATTTAACTTCAACCCCCTTTTTCCCCGTGCGTTCCTGTCGATGTAAATATGTGCCTCCAGTAACGGATTTCTCTCACTTTGAAATGAAAGAGCGCATTTATCCTCAGAGTTCCCCTCCCTCCATCCGTCCTCCTCCATCCACCAGACTCCTCTCTGAGCAACTGGTTCACATTGACAAAACCTCAAACCCACATCTCTCTCTCTCTCTCTCTCTCTTTTTCAAACACTCAAGATTTCTCTTTCAAAATCTTTCAGATTGCCCACTTATGTCTTTCTTTAAGATGTATTTCACAAATAAGATCTCCAACTTTATGGAACATAATTAAACCTTTTGGGACCACTTTAGGTCACCTTATGTAGTTTATACTCTGTAATTAATTGCTCCATTAATGGTTGATAAATATAAGCAAAACATTCACAAAATCGAGGTTGCCAGGTTGTGAAAAATCGTGCTCCATGTTACTCACATTCTAAGAAGCCACAATCAAACGTCAAGCACTTGCAGTTATAAATATAAATACTAATAAATCATTAAGGTCTTTGACAACAATCCTTGAAGTCTAATTTCAGTTCAGTTACCCAACTACCCACTTCTGGAAGTTAAGTGGTCGAACAGTCCAAAATGACAGAGCAAGACAAGTGTCAGCTGGAAGAGGACTTGCTGGAACCTGGCAACTCAAAAGTTGCTCTTAGTCATGGCTTATAGTTTATGATTCATTAATTATGAATAAATCCCTTAATTACAGCTTACGAAGCCTCTGTAAAGGGTGTCAGAAATAAAGAAAAAAGGGTAAAGGCTTGAATGCTTGATCCCAGTGGCTCAGTTATGCATTGGGGGGCATCTTCTAGGCATGGTCTGGGTCCACTGACTTGCTAAACACAGGTGTAACTAATAACACAATCAAATGCTACAGTACATCACAATACTTGCTGGAAAAGAGCAATCGTTAATACTATTCACACCACCTGTGTTTTCTCTGCTATTAAAAGTCAAAATGTCTGATGTGAAGAAGATCTATGAATCTGATACATATGGGGAATGATGCTCTGATACTCATAAGCCTATCAAGATTCAGGTGAGAAAAATCAATTCAATGGAACAAAAAAAAAAAGAAAAAGGAAAGAAAAAAAAATTGGTGGAGTTTATAGAGCAAATACTTCAATGTCTCAGGTTTAATGTCAACATAAGAGGATAACTTTGTGTCTTTTGTGTGAAAAAACAATTGTTTGGGCTGAATTTTACTTTTACTCTAAGAAATGTGCATTCATGTTCTTCATTATGTGATTTTTATTAGTGATTTTCAAGAGATTACTTTAATTCTATAATGAAACCAGGATGACAATGCATCCTGGTTTCATTATAGTATTGTATAGGTATTGTTAATGTGTACATATTAATGTTTCATTATTAAAAGGAATAGAAAGGGGAATAAATGCAATGATGTAACACAATTTAAAAAGGCATTTAGCTATTCAACATCCATGTGATACATGGATAATGACTTACCCTTCATCTGCCCTGCTTCTTGTAAAGCTCTTGGGCGCCACTCTCAGGCCTCAACAGTTACTCCTCCATGTGTCCACAGTGGTACAAGACACAAAGATACAATTACACCAAAAGGGAGTGATTACAGTCAGTTGCTTTAGTGATGCTATTTGCTGGACATTTATTTTAAATCACAGTATGGCTACAGTCACATGTGTTTATGCAGAGAGGCATTTTCTTCGTTAAGTCAGTGACACTGCATCTCTAAATTTAATAAGAGCATTAACCAACATCCAGTCATCACCAAAGTGAAATCAGTTTGAAGTTGGATATTCAACAGACACTCAGTTCAAAAGACCCCCACACATTTTAGAATTATTTTTGAACCAGTAGGTCACATGACACGGAAGCTAATGAAGAAAAAGATATTAATTGTAAGATATTGATACAATATTATAAAAATATAGATTAAGTACTAACACACAATATAAAGGAGTGTGCCCTGATTGGGCCATGTAGTAACACATTAGAATAGATTTTTAACCAATAGGTTACATAACATGGAAGCTACTGAAAATGTATGGTGTATGGAAATAGTTTTGAAACTTTTCAAATTACATTTTTATTTATTTATTTTTTTACTATTAATCATCATGCAAGTCAGAATGAAGGTACAGAAGAAATGTGTCTATGAAATATTTCAGTCAGATTTATTTACAGATTATGCCTAACGCAATTTTATCATGGTTTGGTAGGTGAGCTCTTGTAACCGTTTCCAGCCAGCGAACATCGGTTGCCTGGAGGTTTTCAGCACTGAATATCTGTTGAATATCCAATGTGAAACTGATGATACCGCGACCCAGAAATCCCCTGACGAGAGGCATTCTCCACTCTGCTAAACTCTACTCTGGTGCCGTTTCATAAGCTCCTGCCAAACTCGTAATGGCTGTTAAAGGCTATCATGTAGAAAAGATTAACATAACCTTGTCACTGTTATGGAAGCTTTATAGTATTACAACTTTCTTTGCGGCTGTTTAGTATTGCTGTCGAAGATTAACTTCCTTCCACTGGTGGCAGTACTGCTCAGCAGCACAGTTAGCTATCGAACGAGGAAAAAATGTCTATGCCATCTTTGATTTAACGCTGGCCATTTAAACCTACAGAGCAAACAACCACCTTTCCATCAGTCAGTGTTATATTTTATCATTAACTTCTTATTTATATTTCTTAAATTATTCCAGCAGTGAATTAAATTAACTCCTAATAGATTGAAATGTTCCGTTTCTGCTGAGAAGCATCAGGGAACGTTGGCTAGCTGCCTGAACGCTACTTTCCCAGCACCGAGGTGAGTGACAGGTGAACAGCCTGGGACATTTATGATATTTTTAAGAATTGGTCGACCAAACTAGGGCAAAGCATTTGGGAATATTGGACTTACATTTCTCCGGGTTCTAGAAAGAAGACTTGAAGTTACTGACCATGTTGCATCCCTTTTCTGATAGATGTGTACCTCGGCTAACAACTTTCGAGGCTACATGCTTATTGCTCATTTCTGTGAGTTTGCTTGGAGTTCTTCTGACCCCTAGAGGCCGTGAAACACTAAAGCAGGCAGTAACTGTTGAGTGAGATGACCTTGTGAAAGCCCTCTGGGGTTCATAGATTTTCCTGATGTTAAAGAAATACTCTTATTTTGCTAGCTGTTTCCCGTGTTTCGAGGCTGTCAGTAAACAAATAATGCACTTAATTATGAAGCAGGATGTCCGGCTGGTATGAGGATTTATGAGTATGCCATTGGTAGTTCTATGATAGTGGCTCTGTGAGGTTGTGATGAAATGCCTTGTGATTATGCTGCAAACCAGTTTCCCCACAAATAAATATTGTGATAAGCTAAGTTAGCTGGCTACTGATGGTATCTTCATTTTAAATGTAAAAGTTAGTTGATGTTAGTTGTAAGTGGGGACAATCTTCAGAAAAAGGCACAGAAGTGTGTCCTGAATGTAGGTCTTTTCCTCTAAAGTGTTAAGAAAAGCATGAAAAACATAGTATAGTCCACCTCATTGCACTGCTCATGTGGCCCTAACTTTAACTGAAGTGGGCAAACCCCAGATCCCCAGGCCTCCCAAAAGCCCCAAGGTCACACCATATTATTTGGGTACATTTCTTAAATTATCCTTAATTGTGCAAGACCAAATGTGATACAGAGAGATTTTATGAATTTATTATTATTTGTTCAAGTCAAGAATTGCATTAATGTAAAGGCCAAGGTCCTTAATCTTGTCCCAATTGTGCTTGTAGTATATCTGTTGACAGGGGAATAAACATCCTGAATACAGGAAAATACATTTTGGGACTGAATAATGGCAAATGATCAACTGGGGTAGTTGGACGCCTTCTGGAAAATTATGTTTTTTAAGAGTTTATTTCAGCTAGAAAAATTGGTGTCCCTCAGTTTTCACCCAAAAGGCAAATTAGTTTCACCTCTTTTGGAAATAAGGACACAAGCATTGTCAAGAATATAACGTTTAATTACAGCCAAATATTAATTAGTACACTCATCAATTTTAAAACTGAATAGACAAAGCAGAGTGGATCAAATAGTATCCACCACTGTGGCAGGACTATACTCTAGGTTAGAAATGCCTTTGAAAAAGTACATTGTTAATGATTTATCAACAACTTTTATAGTAGTCTGCATGTTTTGTGTTGTTGTGTTTCATGCAATTTTTGATGTTCGTGTGTTAGCCAGAGAGGTTTTTCGGTGTTATGCTTGC